GAATCACCAGTCAATTTAAACTAAGGTAGAGATGCATGGCTGGTTATGACCCAAATGAGCGTGTTGCTAGTTTGTCACTGGTCCTGATGAGATTTTGTATGGCCTTTCTCCTATTGGCTTTACTATTAATTGGGGGCCTGTGGCCTTTTCAGCTATTCCAATTATCACTTTGCATTCTCTGTGGCTACTTCTAAGTGCAACTGTTCTAGGTTCCACCTTTAAATACATCTCAGAGAGTGAAGGACATAGAATTTTTTCTGGATCTTCCAGAAGATCAATATTCCTGAGTCAAATGTCTGTGCATATGTATCTATCAATCTATCAGTCATAAATAAAGTCTGCTGACAGATCAGTGGGACATAGGAGGGGAGGGCAAAATGAAGTGTGAGGAAAGACTACTGATGAACCTGAGAGCTCCATCCCAACTCTTACGATTTATTTATTTATTTACTTGCTTATTCATTTACTTGCTTATTCATTTATTTAGACAAATTGATCTTAACATGGGTGTATCAGATCAGTATTTCTTTCTCAAAAAAACCAAAGAACAAACATCCCATCTGACTGCACAGTTGGGTACAGAAGGGGCACTGGGTGATGTGGGAGGGAACATTGTCAATAAGTTTGCAAACTCCCTCCCATTCCACCCTGCACATTCCTATAACCAGCTTGCCAGCTGGGATATTTTTTATTGACAATGGAGATGAGTGGTGGAACTGGTTTCACTTCGGAAATCTGAAAGATGGCTAACCGTTTCCAGGCACACTCGAGGCATACTCCTGGAGTTCACCAAGCCTGTCCTGCCACCCTCCCTCCCTCCCTCCCTTCCTCTGCTGGCATATGATACACGATAGAAGGGGAAACAAACTGAGGAATCCACAAAGCTCTGCCCTGAAACTATCCTGCATCAAATCTGTAAGGAGAGCACCAGTCACTGGATTTGTTGAAGCACAATAAAGCTTGGCTATAGGGGCTGTGCAATTTAGGCTGACATACTTTTCTGACAACTGAGGGATGGGAGATATGCATGTTAACACAGTTATCAGGACTGTGTTGTATTGTCCCCTGTCAAAATTGGCCAGATTAGGTAGCTCAGTTCTGTGCAGATAAACCTGCTTGGGCTTGTATTCAGGATCTTTAGGTGTCTTGGAATCTACCACGAGGTAATTTGGAAACTGAAGATGAAAAGGCAATTAGTAGGTAGTGGAACACAGCAAAGCCAAAAAAAAAAAAAAAATCTGTATCACCCCGGCAAGGCTTAATTGGTACAGGAAATTATTCTATACTTCTTCCTGTCCTGGAAGCAACATTGGCAGAATCAGATTCAGACTCTGAATCATAGCTTGTGACAGTTAGTTGTTGTTGCTGCTGTTATTATTGTTGTTGTTGTTGTTGTTGTTATTCTGTATTATAAACCACCATGAATCCTTGGGAGGAGGGTATATAAAAATTTGTATAGATGAGTGAATGCATGCACCATTTTGGATACCTGAAGTGAGTTCAACATAGACAGATCTCAGTGCTATTCATTTGCTCTACACCAGCTCTTGATAGTTGCTGGTATGAGATATGAAGAGGATGCTTGATTCAGTCCATGCCACAGCATGCTCATTGCATCCTAATTCTTCATGGTTAATGATAGAGAATAGTATTCAGTTAAATGATTGGTGGTGGAGCTGTTTTCATTTTGGTTTTTCATATGTTAAGACTAAAAAGAACTTACATTCCTTGTTAATGTTTTTGTTTGTCCAAAGTGATTGAAAATTGGGCCTTTGTTTCTCAGTGGTTTGTCATGAATTTAGCAGTGCAATTTTGGATGATGTAGAAGAGGGGTCAGGGGTTGAATTCTGTCTGTCCTGAATCTCATTTCTCTGACTTTGGTGTCTTCTGGGTGTCTGAATGGATTAGGAATGTGTGTGGTATTGCTGATCTCTGTAGGAATTCTCCTTCACTGTTGCTCTTTCTATTGTGCCTATCTTTTTAGCATCTACATGAACTTGAAAAGGTTAGTTGCATATCTAGCATCTGGGTGAGGATCAGTGACAAATCTCTGTAGAACTTTACCAGATAGTTGCAGTGGTGGAAGACACCATCTTCTTAAAACTTCCCCCATGTCATTTATAAGTAGAACATGCCTCTGGTTTAGGCTATCATGGTTATGGTATGTGAAGAATTTTGCATGACAGTTAAAAATGAAAGGAGAGCTGCTGTCATTACTGGTCTATAGTTCTGGTTCTTTTACTGCTCCAGGAAGCATTAAGTGCTTGCATGCTTGAAAGGATTTCAGAGCTGTCATTGTGATGAAATTTCTGATCTGCTGATTGATGACATTGTCTACTTGCTAGTTTTGATAGCAACAGTCCTCTCTGTAATTGGATCAGCATTGCTCTAGCTCTGGACATATCTAATGCCATATATATGAAATATATCTGCATGTAACTCAAAAAACACAAGACTTTATAAACATTTCATTCTTAGCCAAGAGAAGCAGCAGCTTTGCTTTTCAAGCTTTTATCACCTGCAATCTAACTTTTGCTTTACAATTACCGTGAATTGCATTTGTCACTACAAGTGACACAACAGTTTTTTACAATTTTTTAAAATTGTATTAGACTCTTCTATTAGAGTCAGCATGGCAATGAACTTGGATAGGGAACCTAGGATCATCTTTTTACTCCACTGTAATGCATACTGAATAATTTTGATACTGGCTTTGTTACCATTTTTTGTGTACTGTAGATTTATATAGGAAGCAATTCTTGGAAACCACATTGAGTTTAAGTCACTATTATGTAATATCTCAATATGTCAGTTAATAGCACAAAGAAGAGAAAGCCAAAGAGTAAATGTACTTAGCTATTAAACTCTCTTTCAAGTCAAGGTTGATTTCTGATGACTTATGGACACACCTGTGCAGTTTTCTTGGCAATACTACAGAAGTGGTTTTCTGCTGCCTTCTTACAGAGTATTTCTTTGACTTTGCAAACAAGCTGACAGCCCTAGTGGTTCCTGGTGATCTCTCATCCAAATTCTAACCAGATCCAACCCTGCTTAACATTCTGAGATCAGTTGAAGTCAGCTGCGTTGCTACCACTCGCTGAGATATTACCAATTGCGTATTCTTTTCCTGTCATATACATAACCTATAAGAACTTTCCCTCCTCCTGCTCCTGCTCCTCCTCCTGCTCCTCCTCCTGCTCCTCCTCCTGCTCCTCCTCCTGCTCCTCCTCCTGCTCCTCCTCCTGCTCCTCCTCCTGCTCCTCCTCCTGCTCCTCCTCCTGCTCCTCCTCCTGCTCCTCCTCCTGCTCCTCCTCCTGCTCCTCCTCCTGCTCCTCCTCCTGCTCCTCCTCCTCCTCCTCCCCCCTGCTTAGTTACAGGGTCCACTTGTTTGCACTGTGCTTGCCTGGTTCACACAGTAAAGCCATCAGTGCATGATGTTGAGATTAGGGCTGAGTGGGAGTGACTGGCCCAAGATCACCCAGTTGGCTTCAGTGCCTGAGAGAGTTTCCCCACTCCCTGTCCAGCACCTTAACCACTACACCACTTTGGTGCTCCTTCTCTTTCTCTTTTTTGCTCTCATGGACATACCCTTCAACCTATAAAAAACAAATCTTGTTGGTAAATTGGAATCTGTAAAAGCATATTAGAGTTGGAACTACAGAAGTGCAGGCTAGTAGCCTAGCCCATATAGTTGTAATAAGGATAGGAGCTTCTTTCTCTTCCTTCATAAGGGAAAGGCATTTGATAGACCTCATACTTGCTTTCCTGTGGAAATTTCAGGAAGGCACATCTCTTTTAGGCACATAAAGTTCACTTTGTGTGCATGCAGACCTTCTGATTGGTTTCCTTTTTGATTTATATGTTGGTTCAGTTCTTGAAATCAAATTTGTTCAGGAACCCAGGATTTTTTTTTCCTGACTTCTCCTTGGGACTAGGTTTTCTCACTGCTTATTGATGTTGCTCCTCTGTACAGGAGAAGCTCTTCTTCTATAGAAGTTCCATGCATCAAATTTCTTCTCTGTCGTATGAAAAAGTTAACATCTACAATCACTTTTCTTAATGATTACAAACTGAAAAAAAGTCATTCTCAGACCTGTCTACTTTTGGGGGTTGATGCTTGGATAAAATATAGGCAGAAACAATATATCACCTTGAGCTCATTGTATGAAATATACAATAAAAAATGTATATCTGTTACACAAATGTTGAAGCGGAAGTATTGTTATATGTCTGCTACATGCCTACTACTTCAGCCATTGTAAGATAGAGGTGGGCAGCCTTTGGGCCCCTAAAAGCTACATCAAGTACTTGGTGAGTCTTTTGTCAGTCCCATTCTCCAACATGCACACATACATCCAAATATTAGGACAGTCTTCAGTTCCTTCCCAGATGCAGTTTATTCCTTTCATCAGCCTTGCCCATGGTTGGGCACACTGTTGAGTTTCAGGAGTTGTCACTCTGTTGTACATTCTGCCTGCATGTATTTGTCCTTTCATAGTGGGTATTAAGAGAGCCAGTTTGGTGGAGTGGTTAAGACATCAGGCTAGAAACTCGGAGACAAACCTTGCCAAGAAAACTGCAGGGACTTGTCCAGGCAGTCACCAGCAGTCAAACTAACTTGAAGACCTCCTTACCACCACAAAAGTGGGTATTAAACCAGAGTGTCTGCATTATGTTTTCAAAAGCAAGTAAGCCTGGGTTAGAATGGTTATATTTTGATGCATTCCTTTCATTCCAGCTATTTCTGGTTGGGATCACTGTAACATATTGCATTGTTTGTTCTTGATGTAGCTTATAAGAGGTAGCTGTAATCACTATGGCAAGGCAGAGAGAAGAATTCTTTAAATAATTGTTCGGGTTGGTATTTGTGTTGAAGTTGGGCTATTTGTATTGCTTTGCCATGTCAACGTATGCTGTTGCTTATGGTAACCAAAGCTTTTGCCTTTTACCAATGCCTATCTCACTTATTTTTGTTCTGTTTTTCTTTCTCTCTCTTGTAGCAAATAACTGATGAGGGTAAAAGATCCATCCAAGGTTACCCATGATAAAAATAAGAGACAAAAAAAGTCAAATCAGCATCAGGATGAAGATTCCTCTGATGATATTACAGGTGAAAAAGCTGTGTTTGGGGAGGTATAGCTATGCCTGTTTGCTCCATCTGTTGAATTCTGATTCTGGTGCGTGGGAGAAATGCACGTTTTCCCTTCAGTGATGTAGGCTATACAGAGTGATCTCATCAGAGTGGTATCCCATGGAACTGTCTTGCCACAGGCAGGAAAATAATGCCTCTTGTGGTTTTAAATACATTTTGAGCTACTACTATACACCTAGGGATGGAGTGAATCAGATCATATTCATCAAAGAAAGGAAAATATTCCTAGGTGGTTTCAGTTAAACAGTAAGTAATGGAATTGTGTGTTTCTACTGTAGTTTGATTAGAGGACATTGGGGCATTATTTTATATGTAAAACTGGATCTTTTTATGCTAGAAAGAGAGAGAAGGGGCCAGAATAACAATGAGAACACTAGAAAGAATTTTTTTAAAAAGAAGAAAAGATTACACTTTGAGAGAATAGCATGCAGAAAATTTATTAGCCTGTACAAGAGCTACACTTCAAACTATATTCATTATTACTGATGATGCTTTATGTGGGATAGATGTTGAATTCTGTGAATTATGAAATGGTAGTTTCATAATTATGTGGTTTCTTTTCTTACGTTCAAATTATTAAAATATTTTCTTATTACATATTTCCTCCAACAATAATGTATGTCTTAATCTTTTGAATCCTTTTTTTTTTAATCTTCGATGTAGGACTGACATGCCAGCATGTGAGCCAGGCAGTTGATGTCCATCATGTGAAGCGGGCAGTAGCACAAAATGTTTGGTCAATATGTTCAGAGTGCTTAAAGGAAAGAAGAATATACAATGGTGAGCCAGTAATGCCTTCTGATATATGGCTCTGTCTCAGATGTGGCATTCAGGTAAATAAAATTGTAAATTAATAGCTTATATATCATTCCTATAGAACAAATGTAGCATTTGGGGATTATGAGCTCTGAAAGAAGTGTGTTAAAGAGAGACAGTATAGAGGTTTTAAAAAAATCATGCATAGTGTGAAAAAATACATATAGAAAGGTTTTGTTTTTTCACATTATTCCTGAGGTCACCTATGGAATGGAAGCCTAATAACAAGGAGTTTTTGAAGCCATAAAAAAAAGCATTTGTTTACATAGTGCATTGTTAAACATTGGAATTCACTGCCACCAGATATGGCACTTGTACTGCCTGTTGAAGCAAGAGAACAGAGTTCCTTGTGGGAATTTTAACAGGCTTTGAAGGCACATTTTTGAGCAGGAGTTTAATTGTTGATAATTTGATTAAATATTTATTGTTATTTTAATTTTTGGTATCAATTCTGATTTTGTGCTGACTTTATTTTATGGTAGTTGTCCATAAAATAAATAAATATTACTGTACACCATAGTGATTCTGATTCACTTAGGCGGATTTAAAAGGGGACTAGATGGAACCATGGCAGATAATCTTGATAGTCATGCATTTCTTCCAGAATCAAACACAACACACCTTAAATATCAGTAGTAAGGGGACAGTAATAGAATATTCATCTCCTGTCCATGCTTTTGAGCTTCACAGATTCATCTGATTGTTCGTAGTGTGATCCGGGATGCTGGACTAGATAGGCCTTTGGCCTAATCCTCAGTCCTCATCTTATGTGTTTGTTATCTAGGTCATGGAACATTTCATTGACTTTGCGGAACTCTGCTGAAGTATTAAAAGGCAGGATCTGGGACTAAACTTGTGGAATTTTATCTATTATGGGAGCTGAAAGTAACATTTTAGTTTTTGTTTGGGAATATGCAGCAGCTTGTTCTTTCATAGATCTTCTGGTCTCATTGTTTTGAGAAAACGCTAATATACAACTTTGTATCATAACCAGGAGGAAATGTAGCTGCTATTATGTTCCTTGGCAGGTTCAGAAGAGTCATTTTATCATGGACAATGACCTGTCTATGATGCTGGTCATTTGTTGTGGAAGTGGCTCAGTATGAAGAAGACAATATAATGGTTTCTACATCGCTTTGTTTGTGACAAGTTAGCAGGATTCCCACCTTCAGACAAGCTATGCTTGTTGAAGTACAGTATGTCAATATGCTTTAAAAAAAACAAACAAACAGATGTGTCCTTTGTTTCATGTTGTAAAATAAAACATACTTGCTGCTTTCACTGCAGAATATAACTACACCTTGAGATTTTATCAATGGTCTTTAGGGCTGCGGTCAAAATTCAGAAGGCCAGCATTCTCTGAAGCACTTCCAGGCTACACAGGCAGAATCTCATTGCATTGTAATCAATCTTAGCACATGGATCATATGGTAAGTTAACTTGTATTTTGAGAGAGAAAACTTCGTGCATTTAAGAGTAAAGATATGCAGTGGTACATTTAGTTGTACATAAAATGAAATAATTTTATTTCAGTTGTTAACTAGCCTTAATATAAGGCTATAAGTAACTATAATACTTCATAGTTTATACAAGTTATTATTACAAGCATTTTAGTTATGAATGATTAAGGATACAAATTATCACATGTACGGTTATGAAACTGTACTAGGATTTATATTCTTTTGTTTAGTCATTCTTCAAGCCAGTTAGATAAAAGTCTTGTCTTTATTCATGGTTTTTTCCAGTGAGTCAGACTAATAACTTGCTAAAATGTATTTAGATATATGAATAGTAAAAAGTAGTCTTTGAAATCTGTTACATTGCCTTTGGTAGTAGCAAACATAGGCAATCCATTTTTCATTATTACATTATTATTACATACCTTTTTGGTATACTTGTATGCCCCATCCCCCATTCCCCTCATCTCCTGATTTGTACTATGAGGCTGCTGCAGCATGCAAAGCCAGTTACACATAGTAGTTGTAGAGAAAGAACAGGGAAGTGGGAAAGAACAGAATTCCCTCCGTCTTCTCTCTGGTCACTTATGGTTTCTTGTGAACTTGTCAGGTCCACTGGAACAATATGTTCTTATCAGTGAGTGGCATGAGCAATGCTCTTAAGATGAGACTGTTACTATTTTAGTCTTAAAGAAAGTGAGCAAAACGGGAACTAAGGTATTTGTTTAGTTTTAAGTTCCAGATTCCTCTAAGGCAACATCTGAATTATGTTGGTGGAGTTGTGGCTTATTCAGTGCTCTTAGTGAACACTCTAGATTTTAGAACATCTGAATATGGCTAGTGTCATAAGAGTTTAATCCCTGTCTTCTTGAAAGTTATTGTTACTGCATTTGAATGCTTATTTTAGGTGTTATGAATGTAATGAGGAGCTCTCAACACATTGTAACAAAAAGGCTTTGACACAGATTGTTGACTTCCTCCAAAGGCATGTTACTAGGAATGAATCAAGTAAGTTACCTTAAGACATTTTATGTTAGTATGATGTTATGTGTCTGGTTAGATACATCAGAAGGATGAAGTAAAAAAACAAAACAAAACAAAAAACCAGTGTGATGTTGTAGCACTATAAGCAAACTTCAAACAAATGACTGAACTATCTTTTGGCTAATAAGCAAATGCCTTCTATTAAAAAATGTTGGATCCACTCACTACTTGCTATTGAATACAGCAGTGGTTAACTTCTAAAACAAAGACTCTAGGTTTTAATGTTTGCTAGATATATGAGTGTTTGTGGGATTGCTTTGTAATTGAGAGACAGAATTTAGCAGTGGAGAACAATATTATGTGGGTACATATTGGATTGGGCCAGATTTAATTCTGCTTTCAGAAGCAACTTGAAATCATGGGATTTGAGAAAATCATGATCAGATTAAATCCCGTATATTTCACTTTGTTAAATATTCTGTGTCTAATCCAACTCTTAACTCTTGTTTTGTCCTATTTATGCTGTAAATAATATATATTCACCACTCTGTTTTATTTGTTTATTGAACTTGATATTCTGTCTACCTAATTAACAAAAAATTCTCACTGGTTTAAAATATATTAAAATAATTTTAAAGTGAGAGATTAAATATAGTTAAAATAGTGATTAAAATAAATAAGTAAAACAAGTAAAATTAATAATTAAAATCAATACCTGAAATCAGCAACTAAATGTTACAAAAAATATGGTTTTAAGGGACTTGACTAATAAAATGTGCATTCCAAAGAGCTGGAGAGGCAATAGAAAAGGTTTGATTTGAATTGCCGCCAAAGAAACTTGTGACAACTGAAGGTAAACTCCTTGGATGAACACAATAAGCATGGAAGTTCATATAAAAGAAGGTATTCTTTCAAATAGCCTGAAATTAAGCTGACTAAGGCTTTAAAGATAATGAGCACCACTTAATATTTGTTTACACTGAAATGAATTGGCAGTTTTTATCCAAGGTGGAATTAGTATTTAGATACTGAATTTGGGTGGGGTTTATGCTTTCCCCCCCCCCCTCTTACTTTTGAGGTGAAAAACTTCAGTCTTGGGAATAACTGGACAGAGCATTTGGAATTCCACACCATTAGAATAGGGCAAAGATCGTCAGTAGAAGTCTGGGTGGGGCTGGGGCTTGGCCATCTGTCCACTAGGCCAGAGTGGGCAACTTCCTAAAGTTCAGGTTCAGCTTGCTCCCTCAGCCATCTGGAGGATTGTACTAGAAGAGTGATGACATCACAAAAAAGTATGGGAGGCAAATTTTTTCAGCTCATTTTTTGTTCCCCCCCACCCCCAATGGCCTGAAATAACAGCAGCAAATTGGCTGGATTTCAGTAGCACAGTTTTAGACCATTTACAGAGGGTGTTGGGATGTTTTTAAGGGTGGAAAATGAGACTGTCTTGATTCCCAGAGACCTTCTGCGTCAATTTCCATCCTTATTTTGGAGGAAGGGAAATCACACGACCCCAAAGCAGCCATTTACCTTTTTATGATAGTCATTGATTTAGCTTGGAAGGGAATTTAGCAGTTCAACGAGAGGAGTGCTTTTGCTGAACTTCTCTTTGAAAAAGAGAGGAGGAAGGAGTTCAGAATGGAACATTTTGATGGAAGATTAACATAAATAAGTAAATCAAGTAGAATTAAGGTAGAGGGAGAAAAAGTTGGCTTTTCCAGATTTATATTATATTTGAAACATCTGGAGGTACTACAGTAACATACTGCTTAGAAATCCCAGGTTATGATTTCCTGAACATGATGTTAACTCATGGCAGAAAATGAATTACAAATTAAGTGTTTTCTAGAATGCAGCTGTTGTGCCAAATAAGAGGTGATAAATGATTTACATTGTTCTGTCAATGTATTCTGCAGAGGTTTAGATATATCAGTACTGATTCTGACATGCAGTGTTATGCAGGAATGGGAAATTTAATCAGCTCCAGACCCATTTGGAAAAGAGAATCTTAGTATGTTATTTTTGCACATAGGTCTCATGTTCTCTATACATGAGGAATCAAGGATTGTAATTCCAGTGAAATACTCTAGGGTTGGAAAACTGACAGTATGAATGTAACACAAAATCCATTTGGCACTTGGTTGGGGAATATTCCATAAAATATTGAATTCAGTAAAAAATACTTAAGGGTAGATGAATGGATGCAGGTTTCATGTTTCGGCTGGCTACATGGAACCTGGTTTGTGGGGTGTTTAAAATGTTTAAACCCAGATGCTAATAAGAAATCCTGCTCGACTAGAAAACTTAAAGCACAATCTTATGTTTTAGAAAGAAGTTCCAACTACTTTAGTAGGTCTTAGTTTTTAGTAAATATCCATAAGGTTGTAGCTTTTCTATGGAATGTTCTACATGCCTGTTTGAAGTAAGTCATACTGAATCAAACAGGATTTACTCCTCGGAAAGTGGCTGTAGGCTTCATTTTTAGTTGATCAGTTGTATGCATATTAAGTTATAATATTTAAATTAATTAGTGATGACTCATAGCTTTGTAATAGGTGTATTTCTTTTCTTTGTCCTAAGCCTCTTTAAATACTTATACAAGTAGAAAGACAGGAAATAACTTACAATATATTCTATTTTATGTATTGCAGCAGACAGTATCTTAGAGATGTTTGCTCCCACGAGCGAGTGTGGAAAGATGATTTCTCCTTATCTATGCATGTTATCAGAAGTTTTTATAATTTTTAAAATTGTTGATATTTTTAAAAGTGCCCAATTGATCCTTTTTAAAATAACATTAAAAAATACATATAAAAATGAAATTGACTAATTGTCTAAGCACTGCATGTCTCTATTAGCCTTATTTTTGTTAAATATACGTCTAAACGGAACCTATCTTTTTTCCTGTTGAAATTATTGGTTACAGTTGATTTTTTTTAAATAAAGTCGGTTTGCGTACAATACAGAAATTAAATGTAAGGAAAATTGGCCATATTCCCAAGAGAGAACAGAAAGAACACTGAGCATGACCAGCGCTTTTATGAGGATTTTTAATTGCACATGAATTGTTCTCTTCTTTTATATCCAATAGAACATACAAATTGCAACTAGGTTTTTTCCTTTAGATGAAAAATGTATTTTAGTGCACAGTGTACAGGCAGTTCCTTAAAATAAGTGAAGAAACAAACAGGGCTTATTTTATAATAGTATGCATTTGCTAGAAAAGGTTTCTCAGAAAATTACGATTCTTTCTCAAATACCATATGCCTGGCGATAATGAGACAAACTGGACAAATAGAGCGTAGCTTGCTTGTCCAGTTTCAGACTAATCAAGAACATATTTGAAGAAAAAGCAACTGTATTGAGGAGCAAGTAGCACAGATTTTCTAACAAATATATTTTGAGAAATAAACAGAAGTAAAATATTTGCGATTGCAGAGAGCAAGTCTGGCAGCCAGATCTCTGCCTTTTCACTCATAAAGGCTCATCTTGCCTGCAAAAATGGGCGAATGACATTACTGCTCCATGACTGACCAGGGAATTACATTAAGTGGTTGAGATGAGCCCAAGTGTGGGGTTCCCAAAAAAATGCTGGCAGCTGTGTGGACTTCCCATCAGATCTTGTGATTTACCCTGCCCAGCAAGTCTGCGTCGCCTCCTTTCTCCCTTCTCCCTTTTCTTTTTCTTTCTGAAAGTCATCTGTTTGGTTAACAAGTCAGGTTTGCCACAGCGCGGAAGAATAAAGCAAGTGTTTTGGAAAGAGTAACCACCCAGCAGAGGCTAGTTTTGTGGAAAAAGGGAGCTGGCCCGTTATACAGCATTGGCCAGCAAAGCAGGTGCAATATTGTCATGACGGCACACTTGTGAGTTTCACATGAACCTAGTGCACATGTAGTACACAGAAACCATGCTGAGCTGTTACGGTTTTGGCTGACGGTTGCCTAGGAAAGAAGATTAGAAATGAAGGTTTGTTTGATCCCTTGAAACACCCCCCCCCCGTACTCCTGCCCCCACTGCATCTCTCAGTTAACGGGTACAGGGGAAAAAAGTTAATTACCATTCAAAAATAATTTCTAGTTGCTCTGAGATTTACAGAAACATTTTATTCTCATTTTCAACACCAATGGCTCACTACGACAGCCTTTTATTTTATTTTATTTTATTTTATTTTATTTTGCTGCTAAATAATTCAGTAATTGCTTCTTTGCCAGGCTCTATGTTTGCTTTCTTCTGCTGTAC